GGGCGGGAGGTGTGGGGGGGGCACAGGCCCCGCGACAGCACTGGAGACAGCGGGGCTCACGGCTGACAGGCCGCTGATGGGAACAGAAACAACCTAAAAGGTGCTCTACCTTGGAGCCTCCTGGTCTCTCCTCTTCCTCCCCACCCCCTGCCCTCCACATCGCCCCGGATCCGCGTGGGCAGCCTGAACGGGGTGAGCTGGCTGTGGACTCCCTACTGCTCCCCTCTGGGCCTGAGGGGCCTGGGACAGGACATGTCCAGGGAGGCTGGTCCAGCCCAGGGGCCCCCGGGAGCTGGGGCAGGCAGGTCACCTCTGGAGGCCTGGTTCCTGGATCCCTCACTCCTGGAGGAAGGGGGGAGAGGGGGGAGCGCTGCGGCTCTCCCAGCACCGAGCCCTGCCCAGCCAGGCTCACCTGCTCCTATCGCACCCGTCGACACCTCCGCTGAGCTCAGCTGGGAAACATGCTCCCGCTCACTCAGCGAACTAAGCAGCCGGCGACCCTCAACTAAACCTCTCCACCACCAACAGCTGGGCATCGGGCTGCGCTGAGCAGTAAGTCTTCCCCCGAGAGGACAGCAAACCACAGGGAGCGATGGGGACGGGCAGGCGGCCGGCGCATCTGCTGCTATTTCTACCCATTGGTTCCAAACACAGAATCCTGGGTCTCCTCCCGCTCACCATCCAGAGGGGAGCAGCTCTTCATGTTCCTTTGCAGAAATAACGTTGAGGAGAGAAACGCAGGAAAAACGGCCTCCACTTCCAGTGTTTACACGTCTGCATGGGTTTAACAGGTGCTGCCAGAGCAGGTCCACAGCTTCAGATATTTGTCAAACATTTACCGGACGTTGTAGAAGCTCCCGGGGTAGAAGCTCCCGTTGTAGAAGCTCCCGGGGTGACCCTGGCTGCATGTGGCCCGAGTTCACGCTCACCCGGCAGGATGTGGACGCACTTTCAAATGCACGGTGAGCTCAGAGCATGAGCCGGCGAACTGTGTGTGGAGGTCACGTAGCTGGATTATCAAAAGTCTGAGACAGATGCACACACCAGGAGTAGCTGCTGCCACATGCTGGGTAGAGTGAAAAGCTGGTATTTCACTGTGTACCTTCTACAAGGAAGACAAGATTCTCAAAAAGCCACCCAATACCGACGCTGCAGTGACAGGGGCGCACGTGACGCCGGGACCAGGTGCAGAAGGCACATGGCGTACGACTCCATTTTATGAAACGCCCAGAACAGCCAAGTCTATGACAGAAAGTGGTTAGTGCTGCCTGGGGCCCATGGGGTGGGGACTATGGGGCTTCTTGTGGGGAGAAAAATGTCCTCAACTCAACTGTGGTGATGACTGCACGCCTTGTGAACATGCTAAAACCCGCTGCACTGTACACATTGAAAGGTGAACTGTGTGATATGTGAGTTATCTGTACTAATAAGAGTTTTATGCTAATTAGACCAGGAGACCTTCTGGATGTCCTTCCAGACAAAGCCGGGGACTTGGCCGGCCTGCAAACTGCCCCCAAACAGCCCTTAGCCCCTCACCCAGGCCAGCCACGACCCCCAGCAGGGACCTCACCCCAACTGGGGTGTGGCCAGCCTGAAAATGGCCCTCAGCCCCTCGCCCAGGCTGGCCACACCCCCCAGTGGGAGCCCTCCACCCTGATGGGGGCGTGGCCAGCCTGCAAACTGCCCCAGGCCCCTCACCCAGGCTGGCCCTGCCCCCCAAGGGGACCCCCACCCTGATCCGGGACCCCCTACAGGGCAGACCAGCTGGCCCCCACCCATGCACCAGGCTTCTATCTATACTAATAAAAGGATAATATGCTAATTAGACTGGGAAACCTTCCCGGACATCCTTCCAGACAAAGCCATGGTGGTGGGGCCGAAGCAGAGGTGGTTAGGGGTGATCAGGCCAGTAGGGGAGGGCAGTTGGGGGGTGAGCAGGCCAGCTGGCAGAATGGTTTGGGGCAATCAGGCAGGCATGCAGTTAGGAGCCAGCGGTCCCGATTGCTTGGCCTGCACCCTCTCACAATCCGGGACCCCTGGGGGATGTCAGAGAGCTGGTTAGCCAGGCCGAGGGACCCCACTGGTGCACGAATTTGTGCACTGGGCCTCTAGTATCCAATAAGGCTGTTACAGCCTCCCACCCCCGAAAGAGAGCAGCAGAAACCACCACAACGCAGTCAGCACTTTATGTGTAACACCCGCACCGAGGCCGGCGCCCCACAGGCCTGCTGCTCCCCCTGCGCACGTGGAGCAGGTTCTCCCAGGAGCGGGGAGTCCCCTTCATGTCCGGGAGGTGGGGCACCCACAGTGTCTGGCGTGGCTTTTCTGCAACAGGGTCTGCTGACCTGAGGAAGCTCCGTGCACCTCGAACCTCAGGGCCCAGAAGGGACTGCAAGGGAGGCCGCGGCTCAGCTGCTCTAGCTGCTCCGTGAGCTGTGTGCAGGCAGGCGCAGGCGTGCGTCCCGAGAGCTTCCACAGACAAGGCAGCGTGCATGGGGGGTGGGCAGGGCCCACGGAGGGACTTGTCTGCCTTTCTCACGCTCAGCATCGCACGCCGCCCCCGAAATCGCGTTCTGAGCCACATTCCCGCCACCCTCGGGGACGGCGGGAGGAGGGTCTGTGGGCACCGAGGTTGTGACAGTTAGTGATCGGGAGCAGGCACTGGGTCAGGGAGCTCGGCCCAGAGCTGGCCCCGGGAGCCATCCAAAGGGTCTGTGTCCAAACAGTGGGAGGGTTTATTTTTCCTGAGAAAGGAAAAGGGTCCAGAAACCCATTCAGCTCAGGTTAATCCTGTTGGCGCTGCCTCGTCAGCTCTTTGGCTCTTTCTCTTCCTGATTGCTCTCTTCCATCGGGAGCAGGCACTGGGTCAGGGAGCTCGGCCCAGAGCTGGCCCCGGGAGCCATCCAAAGGGTCTGTGTCCAAACAGTGGGAGGGTTTATTTTTCCTGAGAAAGGAAAAGGGTCCAGAAACCCATTCAGCTCAGGTTAATCCTGTTGGCGCTGCCTCGTCAGCTCTTTGGCTCTTTCTCTTCCTGATTGCTCTCCACACTCATGGGAGGGGGCGGGGGGCACTGTGGCCTCAGCTGCTCTAACAGCCTCCCTCCCGCAACTTCCATGACGGGCAGGCGGCACGGGGAGCAGGAAGCCCATCTGACTGTTTACTAAGGCTTACTGTGCGCTGGCTCAGACCAATGAGCGCCTTACTGTGCGCTGGCTCAGAAGGATGAGCTCCTCACTGTGCGCTGGCTCAGACTGATGAGCTCTGGTGGTTGTTTTTAAAGAAGCAAATGACCTCACAGAGGTCAGAGTGGAAAAGAACTACCCACAGGTCTGGTTCGCTTTCTGTGTCAGCAGCTGGGGAATACGGAGGAAAGAGCAAGGAGTAGGGCCAGTTTTAAACTAAATGCCTTTGGCCCGGCTGGCGTGGCTCAGAGGTTGAGCATCGCCCTAAGAGGTCACAGTTCGATTCCCAGTCAGGGCACATGCCTGGGTTGCAGGCTGAGGTGTGGGGTATGCAGGAGGCAGCCAGTCAATGATTCTCTCCCATCACTGATGTTTCTCTCCCTCTGTAATCAATAAAAATATATTTTAAAAATTAATAAATACACTAAATGCCTTTGGTAATTCGTCCCGACTCTGGCACTGGAATGTCTCTGGCTCCCTGCCCGTTACAGGAGGAGACTCGGGCGGAGCTGGCCAGGCCCCAGGTGTCTCTGACGTCGGCCCGTTGCCAATGTTCTGTGAGGAGAGGCCGGAGGCCGCTCAGCTCTGAGTGGGTGCCAGGCGCCCTTTCATATGTAGGCTGGGCCCACTACAGCTTCTGAGACACGACACGGGGCCTGTCCCAGGAGAAGGGCCGGCTCACTGCTGGGCCGGGTGCAGAGACCGCACGGGCGGAGGGAGGC